AAAATTATAGATTTTTCTTTTATGCCAAAAATCATTAGGATATTAAGTAAAGATCATATTCCATGAAGATATTTTTGTAAATATATCGGAACTTAATTTTTGGTTAGTAATATGCATTGCTAAGAACTTCATTTGGACAACTTTAAAGGTGATTTTCTCAATATTATGATTTTTTTGCAATATCTCGGCCAAATATTGTCCTATCCTAACAAACCATACATCAATCGAAAGCTTTCAGAGGATGTATAAATTTCCAAAGATTGCCCCCTATGAATGGTTTTGTGATCCAGGGTCACATAGGGTGGCACAGAACTTTCAGCTGGCTGAGTTGTTGTTTTTTATGATTATGAGATTATTTTTAATAGTAATTATTAATTATTGAAAATATTATTAATAATTATTATAATTCTTTATAATAATACATTATAATAGTTTTAGTATTATATTAGTAATAATAATAATTATTATTATTATTATTGATATTCTTGTTATTATTGTTGTTGTCATTATTCCTCATGTGTAAAGACACCATAAGTGCAAACTTGTGTATTTGGAATGTACTGTATGCAGGGATGACATTTATTGTATAGAGAGAGACCATAATTAGCCTATACTCTTACGTTGTTGTTGTTTTTTCCACGACAGAGTATTTTGAGACTTGTGAGGACTGTGGGAATGTTACAGTGATAACTGAGAGTATTTTTCTGCAGTATGTATTTTCCCTGTGTTGATTTATATTTGAATAAATATTTTCTCTGCATCTCTGTGTTTAGCTACCTTTTGTCGTGTGGCAGGATAAAGAACTCAAAAAAAAAAACATGACTCTAATAAACCTTATTAAATCTGTAAAGGAAGGGCTTAAATCGATAGAAATGTGCCTATTTGTGTAATGTTATGTCGCGCGCGTACGATACCAGGCGCGCTCCCGGCGAAAATTCTGGGGATGCATGCGTTTGAGGCGAAGAACGGGGACGCGCGTCTGGCAGATCTCCGCCAGCTCTCTCTCTCTCTCTCTCTCTCTCTCTCACAACAAACATCGGGAGGAGAGCGCAGAAACGGTGGACAGGTGAAGATGGAGAAAGTATTAGGACTCGCCGTGGTGTCCAGTATTTTATGTGTCGGCTCGGTTTTGGGGAAATACGTCAGCGGTATCGTCAACACAAAAGAGGTGAGTATAATGTTTACGTTTTATTGCTGTTGTGCTGGTAATGGTTCTGAGTTCTCCGGCGTTCTTGCTGCGCAGCTCCTGGTGGCTGGTATTAATGGACTCTTATGGCAAGCGTTCGCGCGCATCTGGAAGCCTGATGCTTTAATGTGCTTTGCCAGGATCATCACACTCGCCGCTATTGAGCCGATGAAAGCGTAATTCGTCCTCCAGCCACGAAAATTACATTTTAAACGGCGTATTGCCGACATTTAACTTGCATCCTCCCTTCCGTTTTTACAGGTGTGTGTCGACCAAGATGCTCTTCTAGGGTCATTATACAGCATTGTGGAATTGCAGTTATCGCATGCTGGTGTCCAAACAGATTTACACAACATCGGGAGGAGAGCGCAGAAACGGTGGACAGGTGAAGATGGAGAAAGTATTAGGACTCGCCGTGGTGTCCAGTATTTTATGTGTCGGCTCGGTTTTGGGGAAATACGTCAGCGGTATCGTCAACACAAAAGAGGTGAGTATAATGTTTACGTTTTATTGCTGTTGTGCTGGTAATGGTTCTGAGTTCTCCGGCGTTCTTGCTGCGCAGCTCCTGGTGGCTGGTATTAATGGACTCTTATGGCAAGCGTTCGCGCGCATCTGGAAGCCTGATGCTTTAATGTGCTTTGCCAGGATCATCACACTCGCCGCTATTGAGCCGATGAAAGCGTAATTCGTCCTCCAGCCACGAAAATTACATTTTAAACGGCGTATTGCCGACATTTAACTTGCATCCTCCCTTCCGTTTTTACAGGTGTGTGTCGACCAAGATGCTCTTCTAGGGTCATTATACAGCATTGTGGAATTGCAGTTATCGCATGCTGGTGTCCAAACAGATTTAAGGTTGCTTAGCTGTGCGAGCGTGTGTGATGTGTGTTAATGTGCGTGGACATAATTCAAACATGAAGTCATACATTGCTTTTGAAGTGTCTTTATTTGGCATTCATCATTTTCTTTATTTTGAATAGCTGCCGGATGTTTTGATTGCAGTGTGCCTTATGGGAAACACTGGATATTAATTGATAGACACAAAGTAAATGTTGGCCTGAAGCAAACAGTGAGACTGATTTTGCTGCAGAAAGTTATTGCAGCACTTATTTCATCAGAATAATTGAATGAACAAATATGGGGGAAATACAAAGAAATGAGGGAACAATACATTTATTTCTTTTCAAAAAGCATAGTCAGCTTATAAAGAACTGCTTAATTAAAATGACTCTTAGTACTTAAAAGCTTCAATAGACAGCTTATTTTTTCTCATTTAAATGTCGATTTTTACGCAGCAAGTTAATTGATTAAATTATGATTAAGTATGTGTTTGTCTCTTCCAATTAAATTTGGCAGTTGTAGATGAGTCCTGTCCTGTGTTTGCTGTGGGTAATGTAACAACAACCTGTTCCTGCCTGTATCCAAGTGCTGATCCTGCTCTCTTTTAGGTCGCTGAGACGGTTAAATAGTCCATTAATCTCACTTCTGTTTATTTCCTTAAAAGGTCGTTCTTTTACACTGCCATGGACGCATACACACACTTTATCCATTACTGGAAGGTTTTGTCAAGTTCAACATTTTTGCTCAATGTTCAACATGTTCAACATCTATCTATCCATCTATCCATCTATCATTTTTTTCAGTGTTAGTTTTTAAATAATATTTTGAATCTGTTTCAATTTTTTTATTTTCCATTTTAATTTTAATTTTAAAGTTTTAGTAATTTTCTTGTTTTTTGTGATTTTGTAGTTTTTTTTTTAAATGTCTATATGGTTTGTATTCATTTTTATTTCAGGTTTAGTTATTTTAGTACGTCAAGTTAAACGTAATGAAAATGAGAAATGTTGCTGAAATAAAAAGTTGAACTAGCGGCAATAAAAGGTGTTTTTTATATTTTATTTCATTTCAGTTAACAATTATTTTATTGCAAGTAACAAAAATATTTGTATGGTTTCAATTTTAGTTTTAGTTTGAGTTGACTATATATATGTATGTACTGTATGTGTGTGTGTACTCCTTCCTCTAAATTGAGTCTGGCCTGAGGGTTGTGCAGGTAACCACCTATGGGTAACTAACACTGCCACAGGCATATAAGACTCTTTCTAGGGGCATTCAGGTCGACGTGTTGTGTGTGTTAGTGTATACGTGTGTCCGCGCATGTGAGTGCATTTATGCAGTGCTCCGTTGTGTAACTTAAGTAATGAATCATTTAAAAGCCCAGTGGGCCTGGGGTGACATGACTAGTTGATGGTAATTCATTCTTAATGAGGCTTAGCGAGCGGACCGAGATCCGGAAAGACAGTGAGAGGTGAGTCCACCACTGATTCGGCGAAGTGACCAGATACTGCATCTGGGTATAATGCTTGATTAATGTAGTGTCTTGTGTATTGCTAGAGCTGTAAAACTGTTTAAATCATCTTTACATTCATTATACCATTACATTGTCATAGCTACATAATAGTACATTTGGATATAACTTTACATAGAAAATAAACTTTTTAATAGCTATTGGGAGAGTTATTTGATTGCACTGAGCCTTATGAGAACCACTGGCTATTATTTGATAGACACATAGTGCAAAATATATATTGGTCTGAAGCAAACAGTGAGACTTACTGTGCTGCAAAAAGTTATTGCAGCACTTATTTCATCACATTGAGTGAACATGAAGGAAATAAAATGAAGGAACAATACATTTATGCATAAATGTATAACACAGCCTATAAAGAATTGCTAAAATAACTATTTATGATCTAAAATCTTCCATTTTCTTTGCATAAAAATCAATGTGAGTGAATTCAATAGTAGTAGTAAAATGGGATATTACTTCACATACCGAAGAAAAGGTTGGTAAGCATTTCTTACTCTAAATATCAAGCACTCTTCACACCTAGTGGTTATACTTTTGAAATAGTTTAACAAAAAAAAAAAACTTTCTGTATTAGGCCCATTCACATCCACTTTAAATGCCTCAGTATAATTCAGATTTTGATTACACTTTATTTTAAGGTGTCCTTGTTACAGTGTAATTATACATTTATGATTAAAATTATTAACAATATATGAAAATTATGAAATTATATTATGACAATGAAAATTATATTAATAACTGACATTGATTCGACTAGAATTATAATA